CATATATTTTTTCTCCAATGTCTTCCATAACTTCACAACAGAAGTCTCCATCATCACCTCATACTTAATCTCTTGAGATAGGCAATTTCTGATTAAGCCACAAGCACTCTGATCCATCTTGAGCCAATCTCTCTCTTAAATCTCCTAAGGTCGTTCATCGCTCTCCAGAACTTCCTCCATATTCAAAAAACACAATGCATCCATCACCTCACATAGCCACATGCCAAAGTTTCCTTCGCCGTCAAATTTTGTTATATCAATTTTGACGGGAGGTATAATTTCCTGATTGATCGATGCATTCTCCACCGTTGAGATGGATGTATCCATGGCTCCACCAGATCTCATAACCTCAAAAAATTATAGTTGCTCATGTGGCAAAAATTGCACCAATTTGACTCTCTTCCTTCGCTTGGACGTATCACATGAATAGTTTAAGTTCTTGCATTCTTCATGTCGTCGTCAGAAAAATCGCCAAGATCTGACTCTAATTCCAATTATTGTGCAAACAATCACAGCGAAAATAAAATCAATTTACCTAACACAATCACAAAGAACATGACAATTTATGTTGTTCGATGAAGATGTCTATATCCATGGGAAGGGGATGATGATTTTATTAAATTGGAGGACAATATGAATTACAATACTCTCAAGATCTCTCTTGTGTTCACATCTATGATGCACCGACACGAACACGATGACACAGACACGACACGGACACGGGACATGGCAATTTTTAAAAATATAGGACAGGGGTGCGGCGTGGACACGACATAATAATTTTTTAATAAAATATATAAAAATTAAGGTGATATTATAGTAAAAATGACAAGCAATAATAAATCAATTTCATGATAACTTGTTTAGCTAATAACATAAAGATGTTTAGTACAAAATATCTAGTACAACCATAAAAATATAAGCAAAAAACTATTTAATACAACATGAAGGTCTAATTACTCAATAGAGGGAATGATAGAATTAGATTCAGATGTTGTTCTTTGGCCTTCAATATCATCATCATTGAATATCATTGCTTCCAACTCTGATTCATCTAGAGAAAGATTTGCAACCTCCAATAATCTCATATCATCAAGGCACTCGAACCCATCTCCAGCAACATCCCACATCTTGTTATCACATGTCATATAAAGTGGGGTTTTTCTTGATAGAAGACGAAGATTTGTATGCACATAAACTAAATCTTCAACACATTGTGGAGTTATTTTATTCCTCTTCATTGATTGAATAAATGAGTATGTGCTCCAATTTCTCTCACAACAGGAAGAGGATGATACTTGACCAAGAAGTTTTATTGCTATTTTTTGAAGAAGCGGTGCTGAAGCTCCATGAATCAACCACCACATTTTTGGATCCATCCTCCATCTATCAACCAAAGATTCTTGATCACCAAAATCTTTAAATATCCAAAGAACTTTGCAAGTTCTATATTAATTTTTTTTTTCAAGCATATCTTTCTCATATTTAAAACTTCTAAATCTTTTTGTAGTGAGACACGTTGAGGATCTTCTTGAAGCCATTCTTTACTTGAATATCTTCAAATAATACAAAGCATATAAAATTATATGTTCATTTACCAACAAATTTAAATTAATTTAAAAGATGAATATAAATATACCTTGGATTTAATGAATGAGCCAAACAATGCAAATGTGTGTTGCTTTTGCTCCACCTATATTCAAGAATGATATAGACAATGCTCCAAAAACTTGAGTCTTCATCATGTGATTTTATTTCATGCCTGTATATAATTTCTTTCACTTTTGCTTACATAGAGTCCCACATCTCATAAATCAAATGTAGGCATGATTTATCTACGTCAGCCTCTCTTAATATATCATAAATTGGATCAGTGAAAACCAAAATGTAGCATGTACTTAACGGTACCGAGCGGTACCGAGCATGTACCTAGCAGTACCGAGCATGTACATAGCGGTACCGAGCATATATTGAGCAGTACCGAGCATGTACTGAGTGGTACCGAGCATGTACTGAGCGGTACCGAGCATGTACTGAGCGGTACCGAGCATGTACATTAGGTTTTTCAACAAAGAAGAGAAGAAATGGTGAAATCCACTTACAGGTCTTGGCTCTCTTGCGCGCAGAAGGTGCTCTGTTTGGCCTTGATTGCGAACTTTGCCTCGGATGACCGCAGAAATCACGCAAGAACGAAGGAATGAGAAAAATGAGCTCTGCTTGGCCTCGGTTCGAGCAGAAATGATGAAGGAACGGGAGGCGAAGGCAGCGGGCTCCGTTTGGTGTTAATTGCGAGCTCTCCCGGTTTGCCCTAGAAGATTTCTTTCGTGGATTGGAAAATAGGGCTTCTCGTTCGCGGAAAAGGCTAAATAGAACGAACAATTTTATCATTTAATAACCGGACACGCGTGTCCGATTTTAATTTTAATTTTTTAAATTGCGACACTTCAATGCCGTGTTGGACATGTGTCCATGCCGTGTCCGACGTGTGTCCGTGTCCGACACATGTTCGACACTGCATACCCTCTTTAAGCGGAGTGTCGGTGCATCATAGCTTTGCTTTTGTTTGCATTTTTTAGACAGTTTTGGTGATGAATTTTGAATATTATGGCTCTCTTATTTGCTGGGTTGCTTTCTCTATTTTTTCATGGATGATTTGGACAATGATGAATTTCATTTTTCCTATGCTTTAATGTCCTATATGTATGATTCCTATCGAGTCTACAATAATATTTTATTGTTATGCTCAACCGAATTTTTTTTTTTTCAAGTTTTTTTACTCAGGAAAATTCTCGCTGACCTTTATGTGCTTGAAAACTATTTCCTAGTTCTGAATCCTTTCTGTTTTGAATGGTGGTCGGTCTTGCATTTTTTCTCATGTAGATTGTTGCTGTCTCTTTTATTGGTTGCATTTATATATTCTTGTTGGGATTCTTGGAAGATTCTTGAAGAGAAATGGGAGAGAAGGAAAGGGGAGAGCTAACTAATTGGAGGGAAAGATAGAACTGAAACTATTATATTATTATTCAATTCACCTTAAGGAGTACCTCTTTTACAACCTCTTGCATCTATTTACAGACAAATCAATAAAAAAACTCTAACCAATGGTTATACAAAGCTAAACAAAGAAATTTCTAAAGAAAGTACACCTATAAGTAACTAATCCAGATTTAATTCTAAAGCAAAATAGTAAAACTGAAACCTAACGTGAAATTTGACCAAATACTAACGATTCTCTTTCTTGATAAAATGGAGCTTGTCACTCAATTTCCTTAAAATCAAAATGGAAGTTTCTTGGTGGCTCTTTGCTGATGTAAGCTTTGGTGCTAAACCTTCTTTTGATGTTATACGTATGGCGTCAAGAATTGAAGAAGTTTCACATCCTGATCAACTTAGAAAGGTCTGGCTTCTTCTCCACATGATTTGAACACACTTGGAGGTCTATATCATCTAGGCTTCTATCATATCTTGAAGATATGATATCTTCTTAGTTATAAATGTAATGATCACAATGCAATGATGTCCCATCTGTGGCTCCCCACTTTTGTTTCTTTCCCCAGACTTTAGTCTTGAAATGTTCTCACAAAAAGAGCAACACTGATTGCGCCATGTTGTACTGATATGATTGAGCGGAGGCTTATCATGTTCCATGTTCCTTCTTGGATAGGTGTATAGTGGATAGTTTGGACTGAATCGTAGCATCAATATTATTAGAGATTTGCTATTTTTCCATGACATTTATGCCTTCATCTTTTACCACTTGGCTTTAGATTACAAAACTGCCCTTAATGCGTTTTCAGGATGTTCGGCACACATTCTTGGTCTTGCCAATTGATTAATTATTCTGTGTGGACGTCGAACTTCATCCAGAGATCAATCAAAATATGTCACGTCATCCCTTACTCAGTACTGCTCGGTATCGCAGCTCAGTATGACTGACTTGACACATTTTGGTTGGTCTCCGGATGCATTATGCGTCCGGTCTCTGCACAGAATAATTTGTCCTTGCAGTCAAGTAGTCAGGGGCCAAGAGCATTGAAAGCTTTCAATCATCCTTGCTGGCATCTCTGAACTTATTAATTATTCGGGATGTTCTTTGTTGTCATTGTTACAGTAAAAAAAAAAGTTTGAATATACTAGATGAGCTTAAATTTTATTGAATTTATTTTGAAATAAGTGTGATACAAATTATTTATATATAGCACTAATATCAATATAAATCTAATAATTTTGAAGTCCATCCTGATATAATCCTAACATAAATTTTCTATATTTTATAATATATAGTGTGAAAAGGGTTTCCACTTATATGATGTCCAATTATTTGTCCAAAAATTATGATTTATGAGTCGGAGTGATGTGGTATAGGAAAAATTAAGGGATCGGTTGGATGCTTTTAATACAAAATATTGGGAATGCATGCTTTTAGGAGATCTATGAATTGTTTAGTTGTATACAATCAAATATATTGGAATATTTTTGTGTGTTTATTATGATATATTATAAATGCATTGAAATATGAGATACAATGGTGGCTGGTGGTGGTTGGCTGGGGACCAACATTGACGACGATGATGACAACGGTGGGCGGCAACGATTGTGAATGACATAGTTGGCCAGTGATAGCCAATGACAAAAATGGATGTGGCAAAGTCATGGTGGCAATGGTTGATAGTGATGAGCAGTGGTAGCGGGTGAAAAATATGAAGTCATAAGTTCTAAGTTTTACCGGCATTTTGAATTCAAGCTGAAATCTAAATTTTCACAAACAAGTATTCTAGAGTATTTCTAATAATTTAAACTTGATTTTCTTCATATCAAACAAAAAGGCCCTTGCGTTCATTTTGCTCGACACAAGCAGCACAAGTGTTTCTTAAGAGTAAAAATATAAGAGGGCATTAATCTTATATACTAAAAAACATGTTGCACATCGAATGCTTTTCAGGGAAATTGTCGGATACCATTGCTTGTCTAGATAACCTTGATCATTTCTCACACTGCAGGGTAAGGTCCCCTTTGGCCATCAATCAGATGTCTTTGTGGCTCCAGAATTTGCTTAAGCAGAAGAAATTCTGGCATTTGCTGCTCCAATCTATCTAAATTATTCAAGGGACATACACATACATTTTGGAGCTTAGTACTTATGAATAGGGCTTCTCTCTTAATCTTCATCTAGAAATCCTATAGCAAAGGGACATACCCTTTTTTAACTTGCTTCCTTTTCAAAACATTACATGAGGTCCTGGTTGGGTACCCATTAGGTATACACGCTTTGGGTGGGTGGGCGAAGCCCGCCTATGCCCACCTATTGTTACTTTTGGGATGCCGTACATACCCATATCCATCCACTTTTCATGCTTTTTGAACGCAGTCCGCCACGGATTGATGGCCTTGACTTGTTACCCTTTGCTTTGATTGCAAACTTTCAAGCCTCATTTCAGAATTTATCGTTGTCGCAGCGTAGTTCAGTGTTGCGCACTGCGTAGTGAGGATTGCGGAAATATACGTCATATGGTGATTAGCAATGTACGTAAATCATTTTTATCTAAATTATTCAAGGGACATACACATACATTTTGGAGCTTAGTACTTATGAATAGGGCTTCTCTCTTAATCTTCATCTAGGAATCCTATAGTAAAGGGACATACCCTTTTTTAACTTGCTTCCTTTGCAAAACCCTACATGAGGTCCTGGTTGGGTACCCATTAGGTATCCACGCTCTGGGTGGGTGGGCGAAGCCCGCCTATGCCCACCTATTGTGACTTTTGGGATGCCGTACCCATCCATATCCACCCACTTTTCATGCTTTTTGAACGCAGTCCGCCACGGACATATGGCCTTGACTTGTTAGCCTTTGCTTTGATTACAAACTTTCAAGCCTCATATTAGAATTTATTGTTGTTGCAGTATAGTTCAGTGTTGCGCACTGTATAGTGTGGACTGCGCAAATATACGTCATACGGTGATTAGCAATGTACGTAAATCATTTTATCCCTAATATTGAGTACCCACCCTACCCACTCATGAGACCATGAGCGTATCCATACCGATTGGATATGGGTGAGTATGTGAGTGGGTATGTGGGTATGAGTACCCAATGCAGAACTATGTTCCTTTGACTTGTTTGGTTATAAGTTCATTATATTATGACGGAAGTGAGCAGAATTATCTAATGCTGGGTTACGCAAAACACTAATGGCTTGTGTGACAGGCTGACAGCAAGTGAAAGTTCTGTGGAATATTGTGGCAGGAATCATAAACGTTAATGTCCCTTCTGCTTAGGCAATTATGAGAGAGAAATGGCAAGAAGAACAGCAGAAAATTTAAGCTGCTGTGTTTTGCATGAAGGTGAGCAGCAGTTTTATAAGTTAGTTTTTTTTTTTTTAAATTATAAGTTAGTTTTTAATTAAAAAAAAAGGTGAGTAACGGTTTACCTGTCATCTTGTTTATTTGGTCGTTAATGATAAATGATTTGTAGGGTTATAAATTAAGTTAATTGAGAATTATTTTGTTCAAGATTATTTATTTATTTATATATAAAATTCGATATGAATTTGAATATGATTTAATTTTAAAATATGTAGTCTTATTAATAGGCATTTTTTAATTTATATATTTTAATTGAAATTGGTATAGTTAATTAAATGTTATTTATATTATTTGATGAAGTTCAAATATAAATAATAGAATATATATGCACACAAAAAGTTGGCAATATTGATTCACCATAAATAATGCTTCAGTTGCTTAGAATATTTTGAAAATTTAATATTGGCAAAAATTTCAAAAGGAGCTTTTGGATTATTAAACTAAGGCTTCCTTTGAGATAAATTTCTTGTTGTTTTGTTTTTTAAATTGCAATTATAATCTCTTATTGGCCATTGTTTTTTTTTTTTTTGTTGCTTTTAAAAAAAAATTTATGTGAGGAAGATGCTTTTCTCAGCACCTACTTTCTTCACAATAATTTTACAATTATATTTACAAAAAGTTAAATTCATGTCAAATGAAGCCTAAATGAAAAAATTGGGTTAATAATTTTTTTTTTTAAAATAAAACTATCAAATCATTTTATGTTTTCCAAGAAACATTTGTTGTTTTCTATATTTCACTTATTTTAAAATTATTGCATCTTGGAACATTCACGGTGGTTGAGAGAGATAGAGTTTATCATTCAAGCTTTGTACGAAAATTCAACACAGACAAATAAGGGAGAGGGGGGGCAAGTGTCATAAGAAACATCAAACATTTTACAATGAAAATCCTAAAAAGTGGAAAAACCAAGGGGACTAGCCAAGCTAAAATAATTATACTAGTATTTATTGTTTATTACAAATGAGGCTCTTCCTGGGGTGGGAAGGCTTTTGCTCGATGTAACAAATATACATTGTATATAGTACATTACATGGTAGGAGTTTTAAGAATCTAGTGATATAAGAGTTATTCTTAAGAGAGTGTTGGCATGTTCGTTCAGTCGGTAGGATTGTAGTCAGGAGATGGTGGTCAGAGGGATCGTAATGGGCGACGAAAGTCGAAGGGATTGTAGTCGACGGGAGATTGAGGTTGGAGGACCCTAGTTGATGGACGATAGTGGTTGGTGGGACCATAGTTATAGGGCGACGGTGGTCGGAGGGACCATTGTCACATAGACAAATAAGGAAGATGGGCAAGTGTCTTAAGAGACACCAAAATTTTCACACTTAAAATTCTAAAAAGTGGAAAAACCAAGGGGACTAGACAAGTTAAATAATTATACTAGTATTTATTGTTTATTACAAATGAGGGTCTTCATTGGGGGGAAGGCTTTTGCTCGATGTAACAAATAATCGTATATAGGTCATTACATGGTAGGAGTTTTAAGAATCTAGTGATATAAGAGTTATTCTTAAGAGAGTGTTGGCATATTTGTTCAGTCGGTAGGATTGTAGTTAGGAGACGGTGATCGGAGGAATCGTAGTCGATGGGTGATGGAAGTCGGAGGAACTGTAGTTGGCAGGAGATTGAGGTCAAAGGACCCTAGTTGGTGGACGATAGTAGTTGGTGGGACCATAGTTATAGGGCGACGGTGGTCGGAGGGACCATTGTTGGTGGGCGATGGTGGTTAGAGGGACTGTAGTTGAGGGCGATTTAGGTCAGAGGGATTGTACTTGGCTAAGAGTAGTCAGATGGACAATATTTGGCGGACGATGATAGTCGGAGTGACCTTAGTCGGCGGGCAGCCATTGTCAGAGGGATCATAGTTGGTGGGCTACGGTGGTCAGTGGAACTGTAGTCTACAGGAGACCATGGTCAGAGGAACCATAATCAATAAGTGATTGTGGTAGGTGGGACCATAGTGGGTGGGTGACCATGGTCGAGGGACTTTAGTCGGCGGGAGACGGTGGTCTGTGGGACCTTAGTTGGTGGACGACGGTGGTCCAACATCGGTCATTGGATGGGTGGAGGTTGGATGGAGATTGGTAGACAAGGGTTGGCCCAACGGCGGTCTACGGACGAGTGTAGATCATGCGACGATCAACAGACGGTAGGGGTGTCAATTCGGGTCAATGGGTCGGGTTCGGGTCGAACCCGACTTGATCTGGCCTTAAACGGGTCGACACTAACTCGACCTGGCTTTACAAATGAGTCAGGATTGTCAACCCAGACCTAACCCGTGCGGGTTACCGGGTTGACCTGACCTGACCCGCGAGGGAATGATGATGGTAGTCTTTGGCTCTCAGGCTAGCCGATAGCGGCATCTTAAGCTGGACAGTAGTAGTGGCAATGGTACCTCGAGGGCAGGATAGCAACGACAGCTCCTGGGACAGTGGCACTCTTTGGATTTTGCTCTTCGCTCATTTGTTGGCTTCAATGGTGATTGTATTGCGGCGAGAGCTATGGGACGGCGGCAGGTTGGCAGTGGTGAGCGACGGCTACGATACAACCGACGACCCTGAACGACAGTTAGGATGAGACTGAGTGATGGGACAAGTCATGCGACGTGACCCTGACTCACTAAGTGACGCGATAAATGACCTTAAATAGGTAGACCCACGGGTTTCCAGGTTAACCCGAACTCGACCCATTTTTCAAACGGGTCGGAAATTCAAACTCGGGCACGACCTATTTTATAAATGGATTGACCCAAACCTGGATTTTTTTGGGTCCGGTTTCGGGTCGTGTCAATTTTTGACACCTCTCAGACGGGTTGTGGTCTGATGGTGGTTGCTGGAAGAGAGGAGGTCTAATAGAGATTATTGGTGGTCGGGCGGTGGTCCGGCGAAGATCGGCGGCTGAGTAGTGGTGTGGTGGTGGTCGACGAAAGTTCAATAGCGGTGGTGCTTGGGTAGAACTTTAGGATCCTTGAAGTCTCAGAGCTCTCTTAAATCTCCTACCAAAAGATCCTAGCTCACCAAGGTCCAAGCCCCCTTTCATGTGGAAAGTAAGAATCTATTTATAGATTTTTAGGTGTTGTACCCCATAAATATGGAGAAGATCTGGAGCAAATTCGAAGTGCTCCATCAGATGACCCATATTGATCCCCTCGATCCTAGAACATTTGTGAAGCATTTATGTGCATAAATGATATTAGAATTAAGTGATCTTGGGCTCGTTGGATTCATCTTGTTGAGCCCTCGGTTCGATTATAAGCATGTCATATTTAGAGGTCATTTAATCATCCAATTAATGTTTTGAACCTTCTAAATATGCTTCGATCCCTTGATTTGGACCCAGTTGGACTCGAATTAGGCCAATTTTGTTGTCGTTTTCATGTCCTTGAGATGTTCAATTTGACTATAAGGTTGCTGAAATTGGAGTTAGGATGGCCCGGATTTTAATTTTGAAAATTTACTACTTGAATATTTCTCGAGATTTGTGCTAGATCATGACGATTTTTGATGACATATCAAAAATAATGAATGAAATATTTTTAAATAAGAAATAAGTAGATTTTGATTAAGATTTAGATTAATTTAAAATTTATTTCTCTTCAATTAGAAATATTATATATTAAAACAATTTAAATCTTGACTTAAAGTGTCTTTCAATGTATGTAAAAAAAATACTAAATAAAGTTTTTCATAATTTAAATGTATTCTTTTAAAATTAAAATTATAGTAGCATCACATTTTTCTGTTGAACGCAAAATATTAGAACTCTCGATTTTAATTTTTTTTTTAAAAAAAAAAATTATAAAAGATATTTTTTTTCTATTTTTTATCGGGTCTAGGATTTTGACCCGATTGAACCCGGGTCAGTTCCGGATTCGACCCGAACCCGACCCGTGACTCGAAATTGACACCCCTACAGAATTGTATTTTTCCATTTTTGATAAAAGAGACTATTGCTGTTACCAACTTTAAAAAAATCAATAATTAAAGAATTATCGTTTTTGACAGAGTATTGTAAAATTATAGTTTTGTTTTTTTGTATGAATACATCCAATATTTAATGGATTTATAATAATGAAAAATTATTATTTTTTAATTATATATTTAAATAGATAAACAGTTTCTTCGTTAATTTTTTTTTTTATTTTTTTTGCAAAAGGTCGTTATCACATGTATAATAAAATAGAAAAGGTGTCTGTTTGCATGCAATTCAACTAATTTTGATTTTCATCATAAATGAGCAAATGCTATATAAGGATAAATTCTGATATTAACTTTATATTCGATATAGAAAAAAAATTTACAGTTAAGTGTTGTAGAGATTAGAATGCTTATGTGGATGAATGACTTTATTCTTAGAGACAGTTAATAAAGCAAGCATATACGTGAAAGGTTGGAATAGCTCCAGTGAAAAATAAAATTAGCTTAGATGGATTGGCCTCACATAAAATGGCGACCTCCTGATGAATGATTTAATAGAGTAGTGGATGTATTTGTTTTGGTTTATGTTAAGAAATATAGAGGTTTACCTGAAAAGATTTAGTTAGAAAATATTAGAATTGACCTTTTGTTATTAGATTTAAATGAGAATTTGATTTTTAGCATGACAGTGGAGAAAAAGGATTCATGTAGACAACCCCATATAGTAGGATAAATGCCATATGCTAACAATTATTAAAATTGTCATTTAAGACCTTCAAATTAGAAATCAAAATATATAACGCTTGTAGTAAGAATTTTCGGCTTCGTTTAGAATGTCGGCATCTATGTCCACGTGGATGTAATTGTAGGCACAAATGTGCCAAACCACGTAAATGCTCTTATTCAATTTCATTTGTGTAACTCATTTTTATTTTACATATTTCTTTCATGTAAATTTGTAATAGATTAGCTTGCAAGGTGATTTTAGGGCTGTCAATATATGACACGACCCGATAACCCGACTCGAACCCGACTCGATTTTTTCGGGTTCGGGTCAACCTGAACCCAAAACGGGTCGGGTTCGGGTTCAGTTTTTTTACCCGTTTTAAATTTCAAGAAAAACTCGGTACAACTCGGTATTGCTCGGTATTGGTCTTCACAGAGCGGTATTTCTCGTTATTGCCATGCAATACCTAGCAATACCGAGCAATACCGAGCAAATACCGAGTAATACATCGCAATACGCTAACATAGCATTCCCGGGTTCCGATCCAGGTCAAGTCGTCGGACCGCGCGGTAGAGAGTAAGAGCACGTGGCGACATGTTATTGGTGGTCAAACGTAGCTCTACGTCTGGTCAGAGGACGTAATAATTGTTCTCAAATTAGTGATGGCTGACCATTCCAAATTTGAATTGATTATTTGAATAATTTGTTATCTAATAATCAATTATTAATGATTTCAAATAACACTTTTATAAATTTGAAAATACTAAATTAAAAAATCCAAGATTTTGAGTTATAATCATTAATAATTTAAACTTTGAATTTAAACAAAATTTAAACTTTTTAATTTTCAAAAGTAAAAAATTAAAAGTTTTACTTTTCAAATTTAAAGGGGCGGTTTAGTTGACCTTTTAAAGGTAAAGAATAATTAAAATAAATATATATATATTTTTAAAATTTAAATTTATTTGATTAGATGAAAAATTAAAAGTTTTAAGTTTTATTTTTTATATTTATTACAATATACTTCAAATAGTTTTCCTTATCCTAAGTCTAAGGTAACATATACAAGGAGGCAGGAGGCTATAGGGTGAAACTTGAAAGAGACGGTAATACAACTTAATAAAAGCATAATTAAATACTTACTTTTAGTCAAATATTCTAAAAGTACAGGAAAATTTTGTTTGGTTATTTTGAATCATATATAATAATATATTTTGATGAATTATAATATATTCTTTTTAAAAAAACCATTAGATTTTATTTTTTTTTATAAACGTATAATTAAATACTTATTTTTAGTACTAACCAAGCCTTTGGCCATACAATCATATATCATAATTTAAAAATAAAAATACAATCAAAGACTAAAAAATGTGCATGGGACTAAAATATAATCTTAGTCAAAATTACTAAAACATAACAAAGCTCTCTCATATAACTCATGACTCTAATATTACTTAGAGCTTAGATAGTGTTGCTATCATGATCTGTCGTGGCATGCAAAGGGCTTCAAGTGGATTAGCTTTCGGCATTGTAATGCCCGAGCCTTCCGTCAAGTCAACCTCTTCAGAACTGGTTCTTCTCCACTCAAAACCCTGAATTAAAGTCCCTAATACTAAGCCAACTTCCCTCATTGCAAGCCCTTCTCCTGGGCATCTCCTTCTCCCCATGCCAAAGGGCAGCATCTTCCCGCTCTCAGCCTCACCATCTAAGAACCTCTCAGGAATGAATTCAGTTGGCTTCGACCAAATACTAAGATCTCTTTGAATCGCATAAGCATTTATCATAAGCATCGTCCCAGACGATATATCGAAGCCTCCAACCTTGCATGGTTCTAAGCAGTGATGAGGTAGGAGGAGAGGGACGACAGGACGCAAACGAAGCGTTTCATTGATGATACAATGAAGATAAGGAAGGTTGGGAAGATCAGATTCCGTAAGTATTCGATCATGACCAACTTTGTTGTCGATCTCCTTCCTTGCCATGGCTAACTTCTCTGGATTATTTAGCAAGAGAGACATTGCCCATTCAATGGTGTTCGATGAAGTGTCTGTACCTGCCGCCAATAAAGTCTGAAAGAGATATATAGGTCATTGAAGGAATTTTAGTTTATAAGAGAAATCAGTACTGATACGTACATGTAGGGCAATATGATCTAAAAATAATGTTTGTTTTTGAATTGTGTTTGGCTGATTATTATATGACGTTACTTTTACATGCGGCCAACTTTGCAGGAACTAATGCCTCCTCCTCTCGAGTTGTGCACTACCACCGAATAGTAGAGTTAGCCACTTCTAATAGGTAATAATTCATTGCACCGCATCCAAAAATAAAGCATTCAAAAACAGTTAACTGGATCTTAGAGTTTGAAAGATACAATAAATCAGTTACTATAATTAAGAAAAAAAATGACATGAAGTTATGAGATTATGGTAATGTGAATATGATACGTCCGGGAGCAGGAATCAGCAATCAAGCGCAGAAATTACATAGAAAAATAGCAAGTTACAGCAGATATAGGGGAAATATATAATGACTGCTTTTTCATAACAACTCAACAAGAAACAAAAGATACAATCGATATATACTTAGAGAGGTAGATCATCTCTCCCAATTAACGTAAACATCGCTAGGAAGCTCTCACAAAAAACTACAGCGGAAAAAACTCCAAAAACATAACCCTAATACAAAATAACGTACACCCTAATTTGATCCCCCATCTTTCCCTCCAAAAAAGAACTAAAAGAACCCCCTTTCCTTAATTAAATTCCCTCCTTACTTTGAATTCAAATTCATCCCATTAATTCCTTCCTTAATCCTCCTTCTCGCCTAAAGAATGATTGGCTACGTGGGCACCATAAGGAGGGCCCGATCCCCCAACTGTCCTGCCTCCTAGGGTGTCAATTCGGGTCAACGGGTCGTGTTCGGGTTGAACCCGACTTATCCCTGGTATAAACTGGTTTACCCGAACCTGACCCGTTTAGCTAAAAGGGTGAAGATTTCCAACCCGGACCCGACCTGTGAGGGTTACCGGGTTGACCCGACCCGACCCGCAAACCCGGGAACTTAAATCTGGAGATCAGGATTCGCCGATTCAGCGAGGTTTGAGGTGCCATCGCGACAGCACGATAGGGGAGAGCTGTGCACCTATCGTCTGCGAGTTTACGAGAGTTTGTGGCATTGCGGTTCGGCAATTCGACGTGACGTGAGCCTTTCGAGGGCTAGTGTGGTTGGGCGAGGTGAGACCAGACCGACCAGTGCGGCTCCAGCGCTCCACGGTTCGACGCGAGCCTTGTGAGGGCGGAGGTCTATGGCTTTTCGAGCGCGATTTGGCTATGCCTATGCGGATCATCGGGATCGAGTTTGACAGGAGTACAAGAGGCGGGACTGGTTCGGGTCAGGTTGTCGAGTCATGTCAATAATTGACACCCCTACAACCTCCTATAGTTGGCCCGCCCCTTAGATGTTGGGTTGGTCATAACATTACTCCTCTCCCAAAAATGCACCTTGTCCTCAAGGTGGAAGATTGGGAACTGTCTTCTGATTGTCTCATAAAACTCCCGAGTGGTATCATGCTCTAGAATATCCTTCCACTTGATCAACACCTATTGTGTCCCTGTTTACCATTGCATACACCTGCTACTTCCATGGGTTCCAACATAACTTCCATGTCCTCTATCAAGATTGGGGATAGCGATGATGGTGTATGTTCTCCTATCGCCTTCCTCAATTGTGATACATGAAAGACTGGGTGCAAGGCTGAGGTGAGGATAGTTTTAGTTGATAGGCAATAGCTCCGATGCATTTCAAGACCTCATAAAGTCCAAAATATCATGAACACCACATGTCCTAAATACTAAACATATGGTTGCCGAAATATGCATTTCTTCCCATTGGCAAACAACTGATGCTCCTTTAATGTCTTCATGATAGTCTTCAACTGCTCCAAGTGTTCCGCCTTGATCTTACTATATATCAAAATGTTATAAAAAAATACTAGGACAAACCTTCAAAGGTATGGCTGGAATACTCGGTTCATAAGTGACTGGAAGGTGGCAGGGTTTGATAAAAGGTATGCATTCCTCCCCCAATGCAATGTCATTTGGTCATCCTGTGCGGGAACTGAGAGTCGCGGGATGGCCGGATCACCTTGTGTAGGAACCTGGAGCCACAAGGTGTGTCGTTTGATGATACTTTTTGAATTACAATTACTCCATTTATTAGGGTAGCTATAAATCTTGCTTAAGTTATTTGTGAAATATTTATTTATCTTTTATAGATTTACTTGATGTCATATTTGTATTATGTGTTATTTATTTATATTTTATAAACTTAGTTGATGCCACATTTAGGTAATTTGATCAATTTGATATGAAAATGAAATTTAGACTGAAGGTATTACATGAAAATTTCTCATTCCTTTTATAATTTTTAATAATATTATTATTTATTTCATCATCCGGTTCGTTGTCTAGTTCGGTCGAATCATGAACCTCCTCTTCTTCTGATTTGTTGTCTGGTCCAATTTTTAAAACCTTGATCATATTAGCATTAGTAATTATTTAAATTTAATACCATGAATCGTTTTTTTTTCTTGCATCTAATATTGCATATCTTTTTTACTTTTTAATAAAGCTGTGCATTTGAACCTCTCTCTCTCTTCTCCCTTTCAAATACTTAAATTCTTAATGATAATCATTGAGAAAAGGATCAAAATGATATTTTGACTCATTATTAAATATCAAAAGTCTCCAACTATATTAAAAAAATAATTTTAGTCCCTCAATTTCTTAAAGATGAATCAAAATAGTTCCACAATGAAATTATTTTAATTTTTTTATAAACCTGAGAGACCAAATTTTTTTTAATATAATTGTGAATCATTTTAGTCCTTATAAAAATTAAACGGACCATTTTAATTTTTTTTCCTATATTAATTATATCTTCCTTGAAAAATGTTGAAAGTATCGTATAATATAAGCTCAGTTAGAGCTAATCGAATGGTGCGGCCTCCACCATCAATGTAGGATAAAATCAAATGATATCAACTTTTTACCTTCCCAAACAATCTTCGGAATCTAGATAATTCGAAAAATTGCTTTCGACACAATTATAATAAGAGAATAAAAGTTCGAAATGTACGTGAGGTGAGCATGCTCGCAAGTCCCATTTTATCTTTTAGCGTGCCAAACGGTACACGCAGTCTCATATTTTATCTCATTTAGCCCATGTGAAACACATGACCAAACCTCAGTCACTCTGAAAAATATTATTTTTAAGGGTCTCCAAATGGGACACGCAAGTTTAATATTATTCAATCCATGCATGTCAGATGCTTGGCTAACTAAATTAGGGGTGTCAATTTCGGGTCACGGGTCGGGTTCGGGTCCGATCTGAAACTTACCCGGGTTCAAACGGGTCGACCATAACACGACCCGGGGGTCGGGTCCGGGTCGGGTTTTCGTGTCGTGTCAAATATTGACACCCCTAAACTAAATGACTGGATCAGATTCAAAAGTATAGAAGAAAATGATGGTGTCAACAGAAAGATGAATTTTGCATGCGGTAAGGGAGTCGTGCTAAACTCAAATTAGTACTAATTTGAGCCCGGCTTCTCTATCAAATTGTAGGCTCGAGCTCATATGATGGGCTGACCTCATCCCGAGGGAAGTTACGATTCTAATGATGGAAGAGTGTCAAAGAAGTAGTGATCGACATCATAGAAGGAAGATATAATGAGAGCTCGTTGGACAAGGTAACAATAAGATTAGTGTTTGGGGAAGTCACATGTCACATGATGGGAGCTTTACTAAAGAATGCATCGACATGATCAGTATTTGGGAAAGTTGTGAGTCATATATATAACAAGAGCACTAGGATCAAAATAGCGGTAGACCAATGATATTTGAAAAAGATGAGAAGTGGGTGACTCATCAAATGAGTTATAAATTGAACAAGAAGAAATAAGAACCGAATCAACTTGTGAGCCAATGAGTCAAGCTGGATCAGGCTCAAATTTGGGCTCATATATGATATTAGCTCATGGATCAATAAATTTGTTTAGTGAACTCATTAACGAGTTGTGTTCAAAGTAACTTGGCTCACTTACGCCTCTAATTTTAAATTTATATCAAACAATCAATGACCTATAAATTAGTTTGGGATAATTTGCAATATATGTTTTTAGTTTTATTTTTTATTTTTTTTATTCTATTTATATCTTTATACAAATAAAAATATATTTGATATTCAATAGTTAATATTTTTTTTATTAAATATTAGATAACACATCTAATATTTAATAAAACTAAAAATAGTAATTATCAAATATCAAATATAGCTTTAATTCATATGAAGATATAAATAGAATAAAACAAAAAATAGTCCAGCTTATTTTGATCGGTTGATTAGGAGCTTAGACTACCAATCAAGAGGCCTTACATTTGAATCTTAGATATGCGAAGTGTATATGAGTTTTGTTTTCGAGTTTTGAGTTCTGAGTTTTTGAGTTTTTTTTTTAGTTTGTTTTTTGAGTTTGTGAGTATTTTTTTTTTTTAGTTTTGAGAGTTTGTTTTATGAGTTAATTTTTATTTTTTCAGTTTTTGAGTTTTTTTTTAGTTTGTTTTAGTTTGAGTTTTTTTAGTTTTTTTTTTTTGTAATTTTAATTTTTTTTTATTGTATATGAATTTGTCTTAATTGACTTAAATGTAAAAATAATAATAATAATAAGAGGCATTGTGGTGGCTGACAATAGCAATGAGCAGTGGCCAAGTACCTTTCATCCAAAAAAATTTGGAAACACCAAGAAAATACCTAAAAATAATTTTGAGTCTTTTTTTAAATAATTTGATTTAAAAACAAACAATAAATACAAATGAAACCTATAAATCAAATATTAAGAACATAAAAAAAAAATCTCAAACAACCCAAGTAATTGGCAAAAAAAAGTTATAAAGAGGGTAAAAATAGCTGGAGATCTCAGATCGAATAACTCACCACAAAAAGCGATTTGATAAAAGTATCACTGTACTGATCCGGCTGATCCTTTTGCATCGACAAAATCGCATCCAGCATCGTCTTACTAGCACTCCTCCCTTGCTCCTCCTCCACCCTTCTCTTTCTCCTCCGCTCATCCACAAGCCCCTGCAAGAACCTGTCCCTGTACGAGTGCATTCGAGCAAGCCTTCTCTCCACACTTAGCCTGAAAAACCATCCAATCGCTGTCGGAAGAAAATCCCCAACATTAGATGCGCCGGCGTTAGAGGATGTCACCTCCACCATCTCCTTGAATCTCCGCGCCTCTTCGTTCCCATCCTCCTCTCCGTAGTAACGCTTTCCCACCATCACCCTCAACATCACGTTCATAGCCAGTCCGTACAGCCGCGACTTGAGCTCCACCCTCGTGAAATCCCTAACCCCCGATTCCCGAAATAGCCGTCGGGCCAGATCTCGGGCCTCTTCGGCCCGAACGTCCTCGAAGAAGGCTAGGCGGTGGCCGGAGAGCGCCTCGATCATGGCGATGCGGCGCATCTCGCGCCATCCGGGTCCGTAGTTGGCGGTTGCGAGGTTAGTGTAGTTGTAGGAGCTGAGGCTGAAGGAGGGAAGCCTGGGGCGATTGGCGAAGACGATGTCGTTGGTAGTGAGGCACTCTTCGGCTAGAGCGGCGGAGGAGACCACGAGGACTGGGCGGGTGCCGAAGCGGAGGAGGAGGATAGGGCCGTGTTGGGCCGAGAGTCGGGCCAAGAATTGGTGGAGGGGTTTCTTTAGGTGGTGGAGATGACCGATGATGGGAAGCGAAGGTGGGCTTGGTGGGAGCTTCTTTTGGCTGGAGACGAAGAGGCGTTTGGTTAGTTGGAGGAACAAGAGGAATAGAGCTCCGTAGGTAAAGATTGAGATGGTTTCCATTGCGGCGAGGAAGGGATGAGCGAAAGGGACGCCAATAGCTTATTTATATACGTTATAGAATTGTAAGCAAAATTATTTAGCAGTGCATTACACTGCACACAGAGAGAGAAGGGGGAGAGAGACAGGTGAGAGAGGGGATATATGAGAAAGAGTTAAATAAAAGTTATAAACAAGGTCTTGAAAACAAGACCGAACAACGATTCGAAATAAGGAGAGGTTTAACGTTAGCGTCGAATTAGCGTGAAATTGGATGATATAATAAATAATAATATTATTAAAAATTAATAACATTAATAGAATAATTATCAGAATCTAATCTCAAACAATATAATTTTAAAAATTTAAACTATATAATTTTAATAGATTATCTTTCAATATAATTTTAAATTGAAATGATGAGTATATTATAATATAATTATAATTTATAAAAATATAGCTTAATTATATTATATTTATGAATATCTAATACTTTAATTATAATTAATTTTTATATTTAATTATAAATATAATAAATGAGATTCTTATAATATACATTATAACAAATAAAATTTTTTAACATAATATATAGATTTATATTATTAAATTATATAATATACATTATAACAAATTTTTAATACAAATTAAAATAAATTTGCATCCAACTAGCTCAAATTCATGACATAACCAGTTCAAATTTGTGGCCCAAACAACTCAAATTAATGGTCCAATAAAGCCCAAACTCACATTCAAGCTCATATAGCATTTATGTAACTTTTTTAGTCCCACATCATGAAGAAGTATGAGATAGTTGGTTTTTAGCTCTTTATATAGTTCCATCTTTTTTTTTAAGAATGAAAAATATTTAATAAATCAAAATATAATATTTAATTATAAATTGTAATTTTTTTTACTTTTATATAATATTTTAAATATAAAATTCTGAATAAATTTTAAATTATAAAAAAGTAATTATAGATTGAATTATTTTTATTCACACTTGTATTAAAAAAATAAAAATTAAAAAGCTCCAAAGTATTCATGCAAAAAAGAAAGCTAGGAAGAATACTTGCAAAAAAGAAGAAAGCCTACATGACATTCCATCTCCTGATCTCCCTCTATCATTTCTCAATAATCTTCAATAATCTTTTTTCCTAGTCTTTCTCTACCTATCCCTCTCTTCAAAGTATTTTTCTCTTCTATTTCAACTAAAAACGACAAATGATTTGGCATATTCCTCTCTCCTCAATAATCTTCTTCAACGTATTCCTCTCTCCAAAGCATTTCTCTCATATTTCAATTAAATATGCCAAATAATTTGACACATTCTGAATTTATCAAATCATTTGTGTATTTATGACGAAGTCAAATAATTTGACGAATTTGTTCCCTTTAAATTTTTTTTAATAATCATGTCTTTTTTACTTAATTAGATTTTAACCATGCTCCTTTTTAAAATTAGCCCAATTTTTCTTTTGAAAAAAGTTAAAAAAAAAAAATCCAATCGAAGCCAAAGACTAGCAAGCCAAGCTTATCTCAATTAGGGAGAGAGAAATGATGCACAAGCTATGGAAAGAATCTATAACGAAGGGACTTAAGGATTTATAATATTTCAATGATAACCTATATGGATGAAAGAGAACAATTATATATTTATTTGTAGTATAAATAGAGCGTCTTATAATACATAAAAGAAAACCTTAAGGAAACACTACACACAACATGAGGGTCATAGTATTCCTCGAGAGGATTAAGGATATCAACACTTGACAGTACCTAAAAATTGACGTGGACCCGACTCGAAAATATCAGATTTGAGACGACCCCTTTTCCAAACGGGTCGGATTTGAGTTTCAAATCTTGTTCATATTACAAATTCTGGTCAAATTCAAGTCAACTTGAAACCAACCTGGGTCGTGTTAGCACGCGCACTCTTGCCTATGTGCTCACGCGCACGCTCACTCTCACACCAGCTCCCACGCCTGACTCTGCGCCACAACGCTGCATGTTGAATCTATAATTATTGTAGAACGTATCCTTTAATGGCGCGAGGGAGATTTTTGATACCATTGTATTCTCATGCCTAGCACTTCAGCATTGCCAAAACACACTAGAGTTAAAAGGGGAAAAACCACAGGGCCTTGTCCAGCTTAAATGAATCCACTAGTATTTGCAATTTATTACAAATGCATGAGGCCCTTCCTTGGAGGGAAGGCCTTGGCTTGTATAGCCAATATACATTTATATAAAGTGCATTACATGGTGGGAGTTGGAAGAATCAGTGCTAATATGTTCGCTTAATTTGGTTGGCATGACCAGTCAGTGAGCTATGTAGGTGGGAAGTGTAACGCCCCAAGATCTAACTTAGAATAATTATTCAGTCGATCCTTTAAACCATCAACTAGCATAGCTATCTATAATTATCAATAAGTATTAAACAGTCTCCTGCTCAATCTCAGTCTCCTGCTCCCTTGCTCTGACCTGAAAATATTAACCATATATAATGAGCTTCAAAAAGCCTAACAGGTCACCAAAAACCTACAACTGAAATCAAAGCACGGTACTGAAACAATATGCATACCAATCAATCAAATCAATAACAGTCACTTGCACATGATCATTGAATCTATGCAGATACGAAAATCAGTAATCAATGCATAATCAATAAAATCCACAGTCATCGGTAGGAGAATCGGTAAACAATAGAAAATTTGGAATGCTCAATAAATTAATACATACGTCAATTCCATCATATCTGAAAACACTGGTCAAATCCATAGAGAAAAAGCATCGTAAGAACAGTTAAAATCAAATTAATGCAGTAAAAATGTATTCTATATCACGTGCTCGGTGTATCAATGAATCAATGGTATCAATAAATCTATAGTATCGATGAATCAATAATATCAGTGTCTGTAGTATCAATGAATCAATGCAATATTAATATCCATATCAGTGACATGTACAGTATGCAGTATCATGAAATCGTACAGTAACTGTAAACCCGTAAATCCGTCGGTAAATCCGTCTATATAAATAAATGTGTACGGTAATCAATAAATCAATCAGTAACAATAAATCAATCAGTAACAATAAATCAATTCAATATCAGTAAATCCATAAGATAATCATAAGAATAATACTTTAAACATGTAATTCAACACAATAGTCTTACTCGACAAGTACAATCACTGGCTATTAAAGCATTTTTCAAGGTTAATATCGATGTATCGTTGTATATGTTGGCTCAATAATAGAGTCGTCATTCTTCACCCGTCGGCATAATCTTCTTATGACTCCCAATCATTATATCACGTGATCAATAAAGGATAACATCAAACCCTTTTTAAAGGAAATCTCAGCCCACCATCGTACAGGTCAATAATTTTCTAACCAACGGTTCAATCAGTCTTTACTTGTCTTTCAGTAATATAACAATAATTACAATCATATATTCACATTCGTATACATCTCATTAATACATTGCAATTAACAAACACGATTTAACTCAATTAAAGAAAATCCTTAAAATATTGTACAGTCGGCATAAATCCTAAACAGAGGCAAAATATACAGTTTCAGAAAACTACCAAATTATCAGAAATCGGATAAAACATCATTTCAAAATTTTACTTGTACTGAAGCAATATTTTTCAACATCCAGATAATTTACTATTTGATAAAAATCTCACAGAATTCAAAATACCCGGTAAAAACTTTTCAGAAAATAATCAAATCGTGCAGAATCATCATTTCTATAATATACCAAAAGTTACGCGGTAAAAGTTTTGTCAATACAAAGATATACAAGAATTTTGGTAACAGAAACACAAAACTGAGCAGAAAAATACCAAAATACGAAATCTTCGAAATTAGAAATAGGATTCAGAGTCCTTACAACGAGACAAACAATTCTTCTAATAGCGTCGTCGGACAAAAATCGCTCCACAGCCTCAAAAACCAAGCCTTTTTCCTTCCTTTCCTTCTCTTTCTCTCTCCAAATTTCTCTTTCTTCAAAATATCTCAAAATCAGATATTTATCAAGCAGGATCGTACGGGACGAATCCTATTCGTCCCGGGATGATTTGCTCTCTGGATACATTTCGTCCCGATGAATTCAGGTTCGTATGGACAAACTCAGGTTCGTATAGGCAGTTCGTACGTACTAATCATACAGATTTTTACAATTTTCTTCAGTTCGTCCCGTACTAAAGTCAGTTCGTACGAACTGACAGCACTCAAAAAAATAAAAATCTGAGGGGTTTTACAGGAAGAGTCATAGTTGGGCGATAGTGGTCGGGGAGACCGTAATCTGAATATGCTAGTAGGTGATAAGGCAAGCGACTAAGGTTATAAAGGCTATTATCTGGCGACGGAGAGCGAAAGGACTGTAGGCAGCAAACAACAAAGGTTAGAAAGGACATTATCTGGCTATCTGGGGAAGTCAGATAGTTGCAGGATGTTGCTTAATTAATAATGTGTGATATCTTGCATGATGTATGTGGCTAGCTAGGAAAGTCTTCATAGATCTTAGTTAGTCTAGGACAATTACTGATGTTAGAGAAGAAGACCATATGAAGGGAGAGACAGAGTGGATGCGATTGAGGGTTATGAATTTGATAAATGAAAATGTAAAGAAAGGGGTTGCCAGATTATGAGATTATTGCAATCAATGACTATCAATCATAAAATTTGTTACTAGTGTAACCAATTCCAATGTTTATCCGGCTACTATGCAATAATAATCTTATAATGTGGCATGATAAGGTTGAAAGAGATGGATCCTTGGAAAAGTTTTGAAATTTGAAGTGAAATAACTTGTCTCGTTCATAAAAGATAGATAGGTGAGTACATGCATAGCTTTTTTGCTACTACACTACCGATCACCATGAATTTTCCAATATATTCAATACAATCAAAACACCGTTTTTATTGATGAAAAAGATCATTATATTGCATCAATTAATACAGAAAAGATTCCTCATATCTGATCTACAAAGTCCTTAATGAAATTTTCTTATTTAAACTGCAATTTACTTACTAAAGATACATTAAATAACATTCAAAGTTGAGCCAATAAATTGATCATAGGTTCACGAGGAAATAACATTCAAAGTTGAGCCAATAAATTGATCATAGGTTCACGAGGCCTGCATAATGCTTCAAGAGAATTAACTCTGGGCATAGTTATTCCCACACCTTCTTTCATGTCCACCTCTTCTTCTGTAACTCTTCTCCACTCAAAGCACTGAACCAAAGTTCCAATCACCAACCCTATCTCTCTCATCGCAAGAACTTCTCCTGGGCACTTTCTCCTCCCCATACCAAACGGTAGCATCTTCCCCACTTCATCCACTTTTACATCTTGAAATCTTTCTGGACAGAACTTCGTCGGCTCCGGCCATATCTTAGGGTCCCTTTGGATGGCATAAGCGTTCACTATAAGCATAGTGCCGCAGGGTATGTGGTAGCCTCCCACAGTGCAATCTTCTCGAGACTCGTGAGGTACAAGGAGAGGCCCTGCAGGATATAACCGAAGGGTTTCGTTGATGATACAATTGAGGTAGGGAAGGTTGATAAGATCAGTTTCTTCAAGCAAACGATTGTGTCCTACTTGCTCGTCAATCTCTTCTGTGGCCTTCACAAGCTGTTTGGGATTGTTCAATAAGAGAGATATTGCCCATTCGATGGTGTTTGATGAAGTGTCTGTGCCCGCAGATAGCAAACTCTGCAATAAAATATAGAAAATATTTATTTTCACAAAAGAAATTATTGATTTGATTATAAAATACTTCACCAATTATCTAATACTACTTATTACTTACTAAATTTTAGTTAATAACTCTGAAACTATTATAAAAACTAAAACTTTTAACCATATTTTGATCTTCTAGTCATAATTTTCAAATGAATCCGACTATTGATCATGTGATTAGAAGTTTTAGTGAATTTTTTCTTAATAATATGATTATATATCTATTTTATATCAAAATAATTTTTAGCCATAAGAAATAGTCAAACTCTTATGCAAGTATAACTAAAATTGACTAAGCAATACTATTACTCACAATATTGTATTTATTCTATCATATATTAATTCCTTGACTCCATCAAAAAGATTCGGCTCATTATTCAATTCTTTCCTAAAGTAGCCGTCTTATTTTAAGTTCTAACCCACTTCTTTCTCTCATAAGAGTATCCGCAAATCACATCAATTACTATATCAATTTTATCAACAACGACAATAATAACATCAAGCCTTTATCCCACTATGTAGGGTCTGCTACAAGAATTCTTTTTTTTTTTTATTATATCCTTTTAAGAGTCAAATTTTTGTTTAAATATAATAAAGAAATGTTATTTCTAATATTTTCTAATCAAGTCTTTTTGGGTCTACCTCTACCTTTCATATCCTCGTCCAAATCTAATACATATACTCTTCTAAGAGGGCCATCGGAAGGACACCATTTTACATGACCATACCATCTAAGAAAACTCTCTCTAATATCATCTATCACTGGAGCTACTCCAATATTTTCACGGATATCCTCGTTTCGTATCCTGTCTCTAAAAATAAATCCACTCATCCACCTGAGTATCCGCATCTCAACAACACAACTTAATTTTATACTTCTAGTTTTAATCTCCAACATTCTAAGCCATAAAGCATTGGAGGTTTGACCACCATCTATCTTATAAAATTTTCCTTCAAATTTGAGTGGTATTTTCCTATCACACAACAAACTGGAAGCATTCCTCCATTTCAACCATCAAATCTGAATTCTACTAATAATATCCTCATCTATTTCACCATCACTCTAAACAAGAGACCCAAGATAAAATTTTTTAATTTTTTTTTTTACAGAATAGTTATAAAGCCATCCCAAACAAAGCCTTACTGGTCACTATATAATTATCGTATTATTTTCTTATCTGTCTCATAAGAGATCATAACCTGCATCATATCAATTCGAAAATTATTAGTTATAACAAAAACAAATTTGCATAATAATGCTCATTGATATAAAAATCCAAGAAACAATTAAAAAAGAAAATGTTTATATTAAATTTATGTTGAAGAACTCACCATACTCAATGCTTTGATAAAACGATCAGTGTACTGCTCAGGCTGCTCCTTCTGCAACGACAGCAACGCATCTACCAAGTTTCTATCCTTCTTCTCCTCAACCTCCTCTTTCTTCACCATCCTCCTTTCATCTAAAATAGACTGAATAAAATTATCTCTACACTCATGAATCCAAGCCTGTCTTGTCTTCAACCTTCGCCCAACCAAACACCTTATCCCCGCCGGCAAGAAATCTCCTAAATTGGTCGTACCAGCTAACGAGAAGGCCGCCTGAACCGCCTCCTTGAACCTCTTGACCTTCCTATTCGTCTCCACATCCTCTCCGTAGTATCTCTTCCCATCAATAATTCTCATCATCACATTCATAGCCAGCCCGAACAGCCTCGTCTTCAGCTCCACCTTGGTGAAACTATCAACCGTCGTTTCATTAAACAAATTTCGGGCAAGGGCTCGGGCCTCCTCGGCCCGAGCACTCGAAAAGGAAGCGAGGCGGTTGGCGGAGAGCCCTTCAATAGTGGCAATGCGGCGCATGCTACGCCACTCCGGGCCGTAGACGGCGTTTGCGAGGGATGTGTGGTTGTACGTGGTGAGTTGAATGGAGGGTAATTTGGGCCGGTTAGCAAAGGCGAGATCTTTGGTGGTAAAGCACTCCTCGGCGAGGGAATAGGAGGAGACGACGAGAGCGGGGCGGCAGCCGAAGTGGAGGAGGAGGAGCGGGCCGTGTCGGGCCGAGAGACGGGCCAGGGATTGGTGGAGGGGTTTCTTGAGAAGGTGGAGGTGGCCGATGATGGGAAGAGAGCGAGGACTTGGTGGAAGATTGTGATTCCTTTCTTTCTTATTTTTTGTGGAGAAGAAGATCAGTTTTGATAGGTGGAGGGTGAAGAAGATGCATAGAGCCAGGAAAGTGAAGAAGATGGAGCTCAAGTGCTCCATGATCGACTTTTCTTGGCTGCAGAAGAATGGAGACATCGCTATAATTTATACTGCGAAGAGGGAGAGAGAGAGACAGAGAGACGACAAAGGAATCTCATCTTTTATGTTTGAATACTTTATTTTTGATGCCAACGGAAATATAAAGGAGGATTTACATAAATACCATTTTATATCATATTATTTAGTATTTACATATATAGAATTTAAAATTTTAATATTTCGCATCAGAAGAATGCTAACTACGGTTATTTGCTGGAACGAGAAATTATTACATGCAAAGTCCATACGATAAAGAATAGAAAAAATATGAGTGTACAAAGTGTGTCACTGATTATAATTTTGTACACAGTTTGATTTTGTTATACTTAGTTTGTACAAATAATATATACACTCATATTCTTTACCATCCAGACTCCGCACGAAATAATTTCTCCGCTATAACCGCCTTCTTATTACAGGTTGTCAAGCTCGTCAGTTTTGATTACTTTAACATATCATTAATTGCTTGTGAGTGCATGCAAGTTCAACAATATCATTATAGATGATTATAGTCAGCTTGGACGTCATGGTATATATCTCACCTAATCACACCTAATCACCCAAGTGATATGTTAAGAAAATAGTCATTACGATTGTTTGGAAGTAGAGCACGCAACAGAATAAATAAGAAAAGAAAATAATGTAAAAGGGTATCAGGATTTAATGCGAAAGAATTATAAATCAAGAAAAAAAACTACATAATACTATAAATTCAAGAAATTCAATATGAAAATTTAGAGAAATCGTAAAAATCTCTCTTTTCACACTATGTTATTGTCTCTATTTACTAATCTCTTCGTTCTACACTCAAAAAAGATAAATATACGTTTTTCAAAACAACAAAGGACTCGACTCTTCAAATGAAATATGAAATATGTGAAAGAAAATCATCCAACCTAATTCGCATCATTGAGGGTTTGAGGTCTGCAGTGTCTGAGCGCTCTACTCTCTTTGTTTTAGTCCAACCGCTTACAGTGCTGCAACACTCTGTTCTTTGTCTCCAACTAGAGACTGATGCACTGTAATTCTTGAGTATATAATGCTGCAGCTCTTTACGACCATATGAAAAAAAAAAATTTGTATACTTGCACAATGTTACGACGCTATATACTTGAGTGTTGTGGTGCCACAGTCTTTGGTTGGATAAAGAGAATAATGTGTTGCGGCAATGTCGGGTGGCGTAGAGATAGAGAGTGTCCTCTCCAAGCTCTAGCTAGCACTATGAGTTAGGCTGGACAGCTTTCTTCCTCGTTTTTCATACTTAATTTGAAAAGGCTCCATCCATTGGTGCATTTTAAGTGCATCTCTTTGTCAATTATGTTTAGAGAACAAAGCGAATTAAGAAGTGAAGTGACACAAGAAGAGAATAAGAGATAATGAGATTTGTAAACTTACCGTTAATTTTTATAATGAATTTTTTGATATGATGTGGTTCTTTTGTGTATGTGGTTTACTTCCCAATAAAAAAATGCATTAAATCGGCAAAGACTAAAAATATTAAAAAGATAGATTTTTAATTGACTGTTAATATATCGTAATGACTATCATTCTTTGAATAATTGATTAGATATGTTGCGTCCTGGAGTATTCGTGACGGTAGAGAAATATTTAGTTTAACGTCTTAGCATTGTACGAAGATCCAGCACACAAATAGATAAGTGAGAGGGTGTAGCATTCATAAGTGCCACCAAAGTTTTTACGTGGAAAACCCCTAAAAAGGGGGAAAAACCACGGGGCCTGGCCCAGTTTGAATGAATCCACTAGTATTTGCAGTCGATTACAAATGAGGCTCTTCCTTAGGAGAAGGCCTTGGATTGATGTAGCAAATATACATGATATAGATATCATTACATGGTATGAGTTGCATATACATGTTTGTTTGGCCTGAAGGACCGTAGTCGGCAGGAGACCGTAGTTGGGAGGAAACCGGGGTCAGAAAGACTGTTGTTTGTTGATGGAGGTCAGAAGGACCATATTAGGTGACGAAGGCCTGAAGGACCGTAGTCGATAGAAAACTGGGGTCTGAAAGACCATTGTCTAGTTATGTTGGTCGGACGGACCGTAGTAGGCGATAGAGGTCAGAAGGACCGTAGGCGGTAGGAGACAAGGAGTCAGGTGTTAAACCCAGTGTCACTTGGAAGATCGGGTGTTGATGGTCTGGCCTTGGGTAGGTCGTCGGGTCTGAACATCGGGCCTTAAGCGGGACGTCGAGATTGAACATCAGACCTTAAACGGGACGTCGAGTCTTCAGCTGGACGTAGGGACTGAACGTCGGACCTTAAGGCAGTGGTGCAATGAAACTCCGGCGAGGCTTTGGTGGTGGTCCGGCGGTGGTCCGTCAGCCGTCGAGGAGGAGCTTCTTCCTTCTCTTCTCTTCTTCTCTCTCTTGCTTCGGCCTCCCTCTTATGAGAAATGAGGGCTCTATTTATAGATTTTCTGGAGTGGCAGGGTCCGTAAATAGGTGCGAGATCAGGGGCGAATAGGGAGTGGTCCAATGGCCGGCCGATATTGAATCCTACGATCATACACCGTTCATTGGACATTTGAAGGCCTTAGTGATGTCAGAATTCTGTGATCTTGGGCTCGTTGGATTCGTCTCG